TTCTAAAGTTAAAAAAAACTGTCAATTTGGAACACTTTTTACTCTTGTTTAAAAACTACAAAAATATCATTAATTTGTAATCAAAACTAACACAAGCCGGTGCTCCCATTCTCCGCTCAAAAATCCCAAATTGATGTGATGTATTTTGATTTGTTATCACCAAAATTTGCTAATCGCGTCATATTTTCTTACTCACAAAAAAAGGGGCTATTATAACCTAATCTAAGTTTATTAAACTAGACTTATACTTTAGTTAAAAAAGTTGTGTATCTTTAAATAATTGTACTTTTTTTCTAAAGAATAATTCAAATATGTACAATAAATAGCAAAATATTATTTTATTTATAACCACATCTAATATTTCTTAAAACAAAAAAATTATTTTCCATATTCAAATTTTATTTTAAAAATCGACCCTAAATAAAGACAATAACGTTTTTAATCAATAAATATAATATATAGTTTGGAGGTCAAGAAGCCAGGAATGGGGATATACATTAAACCATTTTTGTTTTAGAAATTTATCATACATTTTTTTTTTTATGGTTAACATTATCAAAACTAGTAAAATGTTGTTTAACAATATTGTATGGCCTTAAACTTTTTTGTGTAATTTTTATTTGTTTCTTTTTCTGGTGCTACAAGGTCAATCAATTTTATACGTTATCTCACCAAACACCATGAGTCACAATCTTAGTCACAATCTTCTAACTGGGAAATGGGGTTTCCCATTTGTCTGATTTAAATTCTACTGTAAAAAATTGCATCTTTTTATACAATATTTTTAATTTATTTAATGACTATTTAAATACTTACACATATGTAATATTAAATGGCAGAATAACTTCCGAATGGACTAAAAACAATATTTTTTAAAAAATGTGTTTTTTAAATAATGCTGTTATTTTTTTGTTGATTACAATTTCTAAAAAAAGTCGCTCGCCGGCCGGCCATGTAGCTATCACCAAAAAACTAATCTTTGAACCTTTGCGAGCGACCCCTTCGTTATCAGGCGCCTATATAACTGTCTGTTTCTGATGCGGAAGAATCAGTTTTTCGACAACAATGGAAAGAATAGTGTGGATTTGCTGCTTACTTGCGGCTGGATCAACAATAATTAGTTGCGCCAATATCACCCCAAGTGACGCGATTCTAAGTTTTATACGACACCGCATGAATTTTAGTGCCGATCCTTGTGAGGATTTCCAGAATTTTGCAACTGGCCAGTTCGTAGAAAAGCACGAGCAAGATGATTGCTATTCCAGCGAATGCGCTATCAAGCACAAATACCATGGTAAGCTTCAGCACCTGTTCGACCTGCTAAAGGACCGAGTCTTCATCGACGAACTTTCTGTGGAGGAGAAGGTGTGGCGTTACTACAACACCTGCCTCACAGCCCCCGAGAGCACTCGCTCGGCAAGGCACTATTTGGAGCTGGTTTCACCGGGCGAGAATTTAACGTGGCCGTCATTTGTTCCCCAAGGAAGTCAGTGGCCCAAGCAGGAGTTCCAGTGGCTGGAGACCTTGGCAATCTTGCGAAGCTATGGACTGGTGAACCCTTTGATCAGGTTAATGATAAATCCTGATTTGGGGGATAGTAACAAGTTCCGTATAGGGATTTTCGTTCCGCTAACCGAAGAATTAACTGATGTGTCTGAAGTAAAGGACCTGTTGACCAGCATCGGAGTCAGCTCATTCCGGGCAGCTCCTCTGGCAAGGAGCTTATTCAAACTGGACTCTGATCTTAAGGAGCTGGCCAAGATAGAAGGGAATGCTGAATATCCTTGCACCCTGGAATACCTTCAGAATCGGACAAATCTACAGCTGGACAAGTACCTGCAGATCGTCTTTGGCCGCTCCTTTGAGCCCAGTTTCGAAGTGGTAGTGGAGAATGTAGAATACCTGGAGGGTATCAACGGGGTCGTAAGCAAGTACGACTCTGAAGTGGTGGCCAGTTATCTGATGATCCGGTTTCTTCGCTATGTATTTTCCTTGGAAGGCAGTGGTCCAGAGAGTGATCGCGCCAAATGCGCCGTTGGCGTCGCATATCAAATGGAACTAGCCAGCGATCTGCTGTACAAGAACCATTACCTGGGACACGGAAAGCTACAGAAGTACACCGAAGAAGCTCAGCGGATCTTCGAAGCTGTGAGCCATACTTTTATGACCAGGTTGGAGGAGAACCACTTGCACCTGGCCAACAATGAAACCGCTGCTCTGCAGCAAAAGCTGCTTGCCATGAGCGTGACAGTGGGCAAACTGCCCAACAATGTTAACCATCGTCGCTTCGTCGCCAATTTCTATGACGATCTGGAACTGGAAACAGATTCGGATTTCGCAAGGGCTCAGCTTGAAGTTCTGAAGCACCGATCGCGCCGAGTTCTAGAGCAATTAAATGGGCCTGTTCCCAAGGGAAGTGGTTTCTTTCTGCTCACCGATGACCTTCCAGGCTATAACCCTAGTCCAGATTTCGACACTAGTGGCAACACCATCGTCTTGCCATATGCTATGCTGCAGCACCCGTACTTTGTGCCTGAAAGTCATGACGTTTTCAAGATGAGTCTGTTGGGATACTTACTAGCTGGCGAAATGATGAAATTCTTTATGCCCAGCAAAATAATGTATGATAGCCAAGGAAACATACCAGAAACTTACCAAAACATTTTAAATGAAAACCAGGAATATATCGACGCTATCGCCTGTTTAAATAAAACTCACTCAAATGACTTAGAGTATCTAGCGATTGATGTGGAGAGCCTAAGACTAATCTACGATACCTACTTCGGACCCCACTCCAAATTCGAGAAACAAGCTGCATTCACGACAACACCGATAAAGAAGCTGTTCCTCCTCGGCTTCGCCCATAATTTCGTGGGAACCGAAGAGTATTTGGTTTACGATGGAGTTGACTCGGCAACATTGCGACTGGAGCAAGCGGTGAAAAATCTTCCGGCTTTTGGTGAGATCTTCAGCTGCTCGACCGCCACTCGGCTAAATCCGGAAGAAAAGTGTCATCTCTGGTAACGAAAATATGGGACAGCACATTTTAAATAAACAAATTAAATGTTCAATATATAAATTAAAATTAAAATTTTTATTATTCCATTTCAATAGTAACTTCTTCTGATATTTTTTGTAATAAATATCCAATTTGTTGTCACAAGTTTTATTTTATTTTCATGGAAGGGGATCACAATCTATAAGTTTTTTATTTGGAGATTACACCATAGCATATATGCCTTATCAGCTTAATAAACAAGCAAAGCATCTATTATTTAAAGCTCGCCTTGAAATTGAGTGCAGTAAAAGTAATGTCAAAATGAATTTGGTATTAACAGGTCAATTTTAATCAGTTGAATATGAATTGTTGATTGTTTATTGTTTTTAAATGCCTCATAAAGTGAAATCGTTGTTTAAATACTATACCGAATGTATGAGTCATGGCTAACCCAATACTTATCACTAAAATTAGACATTGGGTTGCTGGAGCAGGGAATTTTGCGTCTGCTGCTATTAATTGATTATTTAAAGATTACACTTGTTAGCGTTGCTTAAGCGTCTCATATTCTCCTACACTCAAAACATTTTCATCTTCGCCTTTAAATTTAATAAATAACCTTTTGTTCTGCTATATATTGGCAATTTTTTCACCTAGAGCTTTATTTAACTTTCTTCAAACCAAAACTCAATTTTCTTAAAACAAGAAATTTATGTTTTAGAAAACACCCTGAAACAAGAAAAAATTCTTTAATCAAGAATATACTTAAATAACATTATAAAAAAATTCAATTGATTAAAAAAAAAAATAAAGTTTTATAAAACTTAAAATAAAATTAATAAAAAACAAACTATAAGGATTTCCTTTTTTATCATGTTATTACATATTAATATTGTATGTAATTCGCAAAACAATTTTTAGACATCACAATAAAATTAAAAAAATCAACATTAAAACTATAAAAATCAGCAATACTTCTGTGCGTTATGATAATTTATAAAACTAACGAGTTTACACTGACCCAAAGAAGAAGAAAAATAAGTATTTTAAATTATTTATAAAGGAAATATGTTGAAGTGTAGAGATTTTTTCCGGTGCTTATGCTGTGAAGAAAAGGGTGGAGAGAGCATTTAGTAGACAGCGATAAAGGTCGAGATTCGTGGCACAATTGTCATGGCATCCCGCAAGCATGTCAAGGATGTCGCCGCCATCTCATCGTTGGCCGTGTCCTCAGGTTGTTATTGCAGGTGCATCGCCACCGAACACCAGCCCCACCGCCCTTTACCCTTCCGACCAAACTAAAAGCCAAATGGCGCTTGTCGCATCAGTCGCTCGTTAGTCAGGCGGGGATTGCCGGCAGCTTAGAGGAGCATCATCTAATCGACATTGACGTGGCAGCGACGCCGGAGCCTCTGCTGCCGACATCGCCCTGACTAAGTGGTGAACAATGAGCCTCCCAGAATGTGGCATCCTCTCGCCTGCTTTGTTCCCTCAACTTGCTGCCTACTTGGCATTCATGTGGGATCCAGCAATATTCCGGGATGGTCACTCCTCACTCCCCAAAAAAAAATGATCGCTAGGGCAGTAAGTAAATCGGCCTTTAAAAAGCTGTTTGCTTTATTCTAGTTTTTTATTGAGACATTGCTTTAAAGTCATCATTAAAAGTCATCAAGAAAGAAATCCACTAAGTTTAAATTTGAATTATCTTCTCTAATTTATTGTTGCTCGAAACTATTTTATTTTGGCTTTGTAGTAGGATAAGTCACTGACTATATATATTAGTATGTACGAGTATACACAGTTATGAATATGTTTTAGTGGTATAACTCTATTATTTAAATATTACGTTAATAATCGTTAGTACTTAGAATAATTAGCTTTTATATAGTTGCCAATCTGGCAACTCTGAAATGTTAAATATCGGTGCTGATCGCTGCCAACTTCGCGTTGTCTAATGTTAAAACCGACGCCATGTAATTTAAAAGCAATTGCGCATAAGAACTAAGAGAGAACGGTCAAGTATAAATAAAGTGTAATTAATATTAAACCCCGTTTGTGCTACTATAAACTTCAGAAGTGGTCCTGACCCATAAAATGGATCTAATTGATGCACAGCAATTTACGGTCGTCCAGCTAAAGAGGTGGTTGGCGGCGCTGAACTTGCCAACCAGCGGCAACAAAGCAGAACTTGCAGCACGGCTGAATAGCGTGGACTCCGGGATTCGTGGAACTCGTCCACAAACCCCATTGTTGGAAAATGATGATATACTCCAGGAGTTGGCGCTGGATGACGACTTGGGGGAGAATTCCTCTGTGGAGGATGCCGATCCTAGGTCGGAGCTGATTTCTGCAGCAGCTACAAGGCCAAAAGGAGACGAGTGGTTTGATGTAGCCGACGGAGTATTGTCGCTACAACAAATACGAGCTGAAATTGAGGCTGGCAAAAAAGAGCTCCAGAACATTCTGGCGCAAATAAGAGACGCGTCACAAGCAGTTGCCAGTGACGTCATCAACAACGCAAAAAACTGCAACCAAGCAGTGGTAGCCGGAGAAGTCATGCAAGCAGTAGTCGGCGAAAACGTCAACGAAGTAGTTGGCGAAAAAATACCAAATACCGATAAAAGTGCCGATATTGATATTGGCACTGATATCGATGTCAACAAGGGTGTTGAACAGCGACAAATGGCAGAGGTAAACAAAGGACTTCAGTCGACAAACTTTTCACTTTCTTTGGCCAAAGAAATCATCATGGACTATGATGGTTCATCGTGCGCAAACATTTGGACTCAGCAAGTACGAAACATTGCTGATCTGTACAACCTGGATGCAGTGGGCGTGAAAATAGTGATTGTGTCCAAACTGAAGGGAATCGCCCAGCGTTGGTTGCACGCAAATGCAACGCGCATCATGGAGCCAGCAGAGAATCTGTTGGAACAGCTGATCTTAGCATTCAGTGATAAACTTTCCAAAGCAGAAGCCCGGCGCAAATTTGAAAATTTGAAGTGGCACCATACCGAAAAATTCGCGGTATACTTTGAAGCTAAGACAATGCTGGCAAGCAGCATCAACATCGAACCTGACGAGTTGGTTGACCAGATAGTCGAGGGAATACCAGCACAGAATTTGCGTGATCAAGCCCGGATCCAGTGTTTCACAGATCCTATGCAAATTCTGCGTGCGTTTGCTGGTATCCGTTTGAGCAAGCCCAAGGAGTTTGTTTCGAAGGTGATAACTACAAATCGAAGCAACAACGGAGGACTCCGCTGCGCTAACTGCAACGCCAGAGGACACATCGCCAAGGATTGTCGAAAGCCAGCAAGGGAGCCAGGATCTTGCTACGCTTGTGGCAAATTCGGTCACTTTGTAGCCCAATGCGAAGAGAAGAAGGGAAATGCTGAAAACAATTATGTAAGGTATTTTAACATTCATTTTGACAGGCAAATAATATCTCCTATGGTTGCAGCATGCATCCTAGACTCTGGCAGTCCTATTTCATTAATTAAAAAATCTTTGTTGCCCACTGAGGCCCAACTACAAGAAGTCACCGAACAGTATTTTGGCATAAACAAAAGCCCATTGAAGATATACGGAAAAATTTTATGTTTTGTACTAAAAAAAAGAATAAAGTGTTATTTTAATTTAACGGTTGTTGCCAATGAGTCTATGATTAATGATGTGGTATTAGGTAGAAATTTCATGCAAGCTTGCGATTTGAATTTAGATTTAAGAACTCTAAAGATGATAACAGTAGAAAATGTATCAAAACATAACCCAAAGCAGCCTACTAAAGATCTGTCACTGCATATTGCTGAGATCAGTCATAATATTGAGTGTTTGGATAATGATATAACTGAAAACGTTTTAGAATGGTCAACTGAAAGTTTAAAAGCAGAGCACGCAGTCGTTAAGAATCACCATGAAAAAATAAGGCAAATGGCTATGAGACAAAACAGTGAAACAACAGGTCAAACAGTTAAGCGACGAGAGAGTGAAACAACAGGTCAAACAGTTATGAGACGAGACAGTGAAACAACAGGTCAAACAGTTATGAGACGAGACAGTGAAACAACAGATAAGACAGTTATGAGACAGGATAGTGAATCAATAGAACAACCAAAAATAAAACAAGTCAATAAAAATACAGATGAAACGATGATAAAGGAACAAAAGATGGTAAATGTAAAAATGCAACTAGAAATCGACGATTTTGAAACCGAAATACTGAACATTGACTTTACAAACGATGAAACCATTGATTTTAACTGGGACAAAAGCACAACTTATCAAATACAATGTCGATTCTTAAGAATAATTGAAAACAGCTATGTGAAAGCAATTAGACCTGAAAAGCCTAAGATTAGAGCAGAAATTAAATTATGTTTAGAGAATGCAAAGCCTTTTAGTTGCAGTCCTCGACGATTATCATATACAGAAAAGGATAAGCTACAAAAATTATTAGATGAATATTTGAAAAACGAAATAATAAGACCAAGCGAATCAGAATTTGCCTCTCCGATAGTTTTAGTCAAAAAGAAAACAGGTGATATTAGACTATGTATTGATTATAGGAAACTTAACAAAGCACTGCTAAAAGACAATTACCCACTTCCACACATAGATGATTTATTAGATAAATTAGTTGACAAAAAAGTATTTTCAAAGTTAGACCTAAAAAATGGATACTTTCATGTTTTTGTAAATGAAGAATCTGTCAAATATACGTCCTTCGTAACTCCACTAGGACAATTCGAATTTTTAAGAATGCCAATGGGTATAAAAAATGCACCGGCTGTTTTTCAACGTTTTGTTAATAAAATTTTCGACGACATGATTAGAGCCAACAAAGTAGTAGTTTACATGGATGACATAATGGTTGCCAGCAAAAATGTTAATGAGCACTTAGAAACGTTAGAAGAAATTTTTAAAAGGCTTACTCAGAATAGATTGGAACTTCGTATGGATAAATGCGAGTTTTTAAAGTCAAATATAAAGTATTTAGGATTTTTAATCTCTGAAAATGGTATTAGAGCAGATGATAAGGGCATCGAAGCTGTGAAAAATTTTCCAGTTCCCTCAAAGGTTCAGGCAGTGCAAAGTTTCTTGGGACTTTCTTCATATTTTCGAAGATTCATAAAGGATTTTTCTACTATGGCAAAGCCATTGTACGATCTTTTGAAAAAGACAAACCATTTCGATTCGAAGAACAAGAAATGAATTGTTTTCTAAAATTAAAAGAAAAGCTTATCGAGTCACCTGTATTAGCGTTATATAATTACAAAGATGATATAGAATTACAAGTGCTTTAGGGTTTGATGCGGTGCTTCTATAAAAGAAAGACGATGGCAAATTACACCCGGTATTGTATTTCTCAAAGCGTACCACCGCAGATGAAGCTAAATTGCATAGTTTTGAACTCGAAACTTTGGCAGTTATATATGCTCTTCGTAGATTTAGGATATTTTTGCAAGAAAAACATGTCAAACTAGTAACAATACAATCTGTTAATCTTAAGTTAACATTAAATAAAGCGGAACTTAATCCATAGATCTCAAGATGGGCATTAGAGATGGAAAATTATGATCTTGAAATATGTCACAGAGCTGGGAACAAAATGCAGCATGTTGATGCCCTCAGTAGGTATAACAGTATTCTAATAGTGGAAACCAACAGTTTTGAAGAAAATTTAATCATCTGTCAAGGAAAAGATCTAAGAATTAAAAAACTTAAAACCATGTTAGAAAAGACAGAACTTAAGTTATTTGAAATGAGGAATGGTGTAGTATACAGAAAAGCGAATGATAATAGGATACTATTTTACGTACCAGAAGAAATGGAAGATCAGGTATTATATAAATACCATAACGAAATAGGGCACGTAGGAAGGGATAAAATGATAGATATAATCTTAAAAACGTATTGGTTTCCGAGTTTAAAAGAAAAGTGTGTATCACATATAGAAAATTGTTTAAAATGTGTAGCGTTTTCACCAAAATCAGGAAAGGGAGAAGGCTTTTTGCACAGTATCCCCAAGGGAAACAAACCGTTCGAAGTAATCCATATTGACCACTATGGTCCAGTAGACTCATCAAGAGCAAAGAAACATATTTTCGTTGTAGTTGACGGATTTACGAAGTTCGTCAGACTGTATTCAACTAAGTCAACGAACACTAAAGAAGTAATAACAGCATTAAAAGATTACTTTAGAGCTTACAGTAGGCCAAAATGTATAATTTCGGACCGTGGTAGTTGTTTTACGTCTAAGGACTTCGAGGAATTTATGGAAGAAAATAATGTTAAACATGTCAAAATAGCCACAGGCTCACCGCAAGCAAATGGTCAAGTTGAGAGGATTAACAGGAGCCTTGGACCAATGATCGCGAAACTAGTTGATCAAAGTAAAGGTGTATACTGGGATAACGTTATAGATAAAATAGAACATGCTCTCAATAATACATTGCATAGAAGTATAAGACAACTTCCGAGTAAGATGCTTTTCGGTATAGGACAAAAAGGAAAAATAATCGATGAACTTAAGGAAAGGCTAGAAGATATAAATGAAAATCCAAAGTCAGATAGTTTAACACAGATAAGAAAACAAGCGGTGACTCACCAAAAACAAGTTCAAGATTATAATGAGAAGTATTACAATAAAAGTCGAGTAAAGGCTAAGAGTTATAAAAAAGGAGACTACGTAATGGTGAAGAATTTTGATGCGACTGTTGGTGCTGCTAGAAAACTGATTCCCAAGCATAAAGGACCTTATATGATTGCGAAAGTGATGCGCAATGACAGATTTTTACTAAAAGACGTCGAAGGGTTTCAATTAGCACATAAACCTTACATAGGTGTTTGGAGTGCGCAGAACTTAAGACATTGGATAAGGAATAAAAGTAAAAAGTAATAAAAAAACATATAGTTTAGAATAATATGAAAATATTGTACATAGATATGCATTATTTGTAAAAAAATCTAATTTTGATCAGGTGATCAACCGGTCAGGATGGCCGAGTTGTAGTAGGATAAGTCACTGACTATATATATTAGTATGTACGAGTATACACAGTTATGAATATGTTTTAGTGGTATAACTCTATTATTTAAATATTACGTTAATAATCGTTAGTACTTAGAATAATTAGCTTTTATATAGTTGCCAATCTGGCAACTCTGAAATGTTAAATATCGGTGCTGATCGCAGCCAACTTCGCGTTGTCTAATGTTAAAACCGACGCCATGTAATTTAAAAGCAATTGCGCATAAGAACTAAGAGAGAACGGTCAAGTATAAATAAAGTGTAATTAATATTAAACCCCGTTTGTGCTACTATAGCTTGTTTCCATTTATCCAACCATTTATTTTTTCCCATTTCTTATCAAACTGTTTCGTATCTAAACAAACGAGCTGCTCCTGACTTTGGCCATCAGTCTCCCAGCCACATCCTATATATTTTGTATTATTCTGCAACGCTGTCCGGATTTGTGGCTTGATTTATAGTTGTTCCACAGCGAAATCTGGGTCTCTTCTGTCTCTTCTTCGTGGCAATAGATAGCGACATTGTCCATTAAGAAAATAGACGTAGAAACAGTGAGCCGCCCTCACAGCCTCACTCACACCAATGCATCACGCGCAGCATGCATGTGTTGCTCTGCGGCGCACCTTGGCCCCTTAATGTATGCAATAAAGCTCAAGTGTAGACCGTCCTCAAACCCACCGCCCACTATCCACTATCCCCCGTCCTTTGGGCTGCTCTTCTCTCTGGTTTCGGTTTTGGCCCAGCTCAGCTCGAGTTTTTTTGCAACACAGAAAAAAATATTTGAGGAGATCCTTTTGCATTTTGTATCTGTACCAGGTATGTAAAACTTACGAAAAGGACTAAGGCTATGAAATAAAATTTCGGTTTAAAAAAAAAGCAACGAAAATAATTGAGACTATAAAATATATTATTGATGAACAGACAAGTTGATAGGACATTGTCAACCTTTACTTTTGTCTTTAAATATAATAGAATGTGTTAACTCTTTTGATATCCATATTATGCAAGGTTATTGCAAATTTTTGCAAACGTTCCCTTCAGTTTATACAAATTCTGGCCGACCCACAATATGTATTATGTACATATATACAATTATTCAAACTAGAAGTTTACTTAGTTAATCATAACAAAATCGCTTATTTTTTAATTGTGTCTCACAATGTTAGGTTTAACATACATTTTTTTGCAGTGGATCTAACCTTCACTTTCACTCTCACATTTACACGCACATGTACATGCGTGGCACATTGTTGCATTTCACGTACGTGGCATTGTTGTTTTCACCTTCTCCTCTCTCTTTCACTAAACAAAGCTGTTGCAATGTGCAAAATGCTGCTGTTGAAAAGTCCTTGTTGTAATTACATTTTGTTTTACTCGTGTTGAGGTTTTTTGTACTCTCACGACGACCTTTTTATTCCCGCCCCGCCCACTCTCTCTCGTGCTTTCTCCACTTTCTCTATTTCTCCTAGTTGTTTATGCAAGTGGCACGTGGAGGGAAAGGAGGGGAACAGAAGGGAAGCGATTCTGAGTTTGGGGATCCATGAAATTCATGCGTGATTTTTATTGTCGTGTTGTGTGCACATAAAATCATGTTTATGCATGTCCCACTCGTGTTCTGTCTCGCTCTGGCGGGGAATAGCAACAAGTTACAGTTACAACCTATATGCTACATGCTACATGCCTCGGATGCCATGTCAATGCCACGCCCCGAATGTGTGGCGTCCTGTAAAATTGTGAACTTTATTGAATTTCTAGCATTTTATTGTGTGTAAAATTTATCGTTTCAATTATTTAAAGCAAACAGCTGGGCTCAATTATTGAAAAGAGATAGAGACAGGTGGAGGGAAAGGGAGACAGATAGAGTTGACCCATTTGAATAATTTTGAGTTGACCCATTTGAATAATTTTGCATACAGTCGAACTTTAATAAGTCAAACTGACTGTAACTCTAATCAAAGTGCTTTAATTTACTTTTCTAAATCTTTGAAAAAAGTGTTTCAGTTTCATAACAAAAAAAATAAAGAAAAAATTGTAAATATTAACAAATTATTTAACTGAAGCATTTTTAACTATTAGAAATTAATTTCTGTTCCTTTCGCAAGCACACAACATTATTTTCTTAAGGTAATTGTTATACGAAATAGTAATGAATAATCAACATAATAAAATTATACGATACTTTCAATAGGGATTGGGGTGCCTTTAAGTCAAAATTTGTATGTAATAGATACTTGTTCAACGCACAGATGTTCTACTGTGCGTTACCAAGGCGACAAGACCTTGACTGAATACTGGACAAGTGCTTGGAAACGGAGAGAACATTCCGCCCTTACTGCATTGACTTTGACATTTATCGTCCCGAACCGGGGAAACCTCCAATGTCCAAGGATGGGTGGGCGTGGGCCCAAGGATTTGGCCTAGAGTGGGCGTGGGCGGCTGTGGGTGGTGAGCTGCCGCTGTATGGAACAAACGTTGGGCAGGTGAAGCGATATTGACAGATTGGAATTGATTGTAATCTACGATGAGATGAATGGGCCTGCGGAATCGAATCGAAATGCTTGAGGGGATTCGATCAAGTAAAGGGATTTCAAAGGCAGCGAACACAATAGAAAGTGCCGGCGGCGGGGGTCTGCTAATTAACATTTAATTATAGTAGTTCAGGCTCCCCAGCGGTCGAATGGCAAGGGAAAATGGGTCAAGGTCGAATTGGGTCAACTATGAACTGCTCATTGGGTTGTTTGCTATTTTAAGTGTGTCTATCTGTTGCACTCTTTCGCTTTCGCTCTCACTCTCGCTCCTTATCCTTTTTTCGTCCTTCGGCTGGGCCAATGACAGTTACATTTACTTTTACAGTTTCAGTTACAGCTTCCGTTGCAATTGCGTTTACCGTTAGTTTGTTAGCTTACAACTAAAAGCTTTTCGCGCTGCATTAAAGTCGGATGAAAAGTGCGCTGGAGAAAGCAAAAAATGTTGAAGAGAGAAAGTGAATTTAATGGCTGGGAAAATTAGTTCTTTCAAGGGCTTACCCGGGCTTAAGCGAGCTCTGGAAAATTGCATTTTTATTTACTGATATTCTTGGAGGACTTGCCGTTAAAAGGT